GGATGAAAGTTTCTACTGCTCCTTGCTGTCTCTACCACTGATATTGTCAGACTATAATTTTTGTCTGTCCCATGATTGTGTAATGGTTTCTTCTTGTGGTTTTGGTGTGTGTGTATGTGTGTGTGTGTTTGTAACTTTTTCCCCATTTCTCTACTAATAAATATGATCATCTTTTCATATGTTTATTAGCCATTCAGTTTTTCTCTTTGAGTTAGTGCTTCAAGAAGTTTAAGCCTTTTGCGTCTACTGAGTTGTGTTACACTTATTTATTCATAGAAATACTGTAAGAATTAGATAAATTCCTAAAAATATGTAACCTGTCAAGACTGAATCATTTTTAAATGAAAATCTGAACAGAATGATCACTAGCTGGGGCACCTGAGTGACTCAGTCATTAAGCGTCTGCCTTCAGCTTGGGTCTTGATCCCAGGGTCCTGGGATCAAGCCCCGCATCGGGCTCCCTGCTCCACGGGAAGCCTGCTTCTCCCTCTCCCACTCCCTCTGCTTGTGTTCCCTCTCTCGCTGTGTGTCTCTCTGTCAGATAAATAAATAAAATCTTAAAAAAAAACACGAATGATCACTAGCAAGGATATTAAATCAGTAATCAAAAGCCTCCCAACAACAACAAAAAAGCCCAGGACCAGATGGCTTCCCTGGTAAATTCTACCAAACATTCCAAGAAGAATCAATACTAATACTTCCCAAAATCTTCCAAAAAATAAAAGAGGAGGAACTCTTCCAAACACATTTTGAGGCCAGCATTACCCCTACACCAAATCAGACAAGGATTTGGTATAGGGGTAAGAAAATTACAGGCCAAATATCCATAATGAACATACATGCAAAAATTCTCAGCAAAATATTAGCAAACCAAATTCAGTAATTAAAAGGATCATTCACCATGATCAGTGGGATTCATGCCACTGTTTGCAGATGGCATGATAATGTATCTGTAAGACCCTAAAAACTCTATTTAAAAAAACTGTTAGAACTAATAAAAATTGCAATACAAAATCAATATGCAAAAATCTGTTACATTGCTTTATGTTAATAATGAACTATCAGAAAGAGAAATTAAGAAAACAATCCTATTTACAATTGCATCAAAAAGAATAAAATACTTAGGAATAAATTTGACCAAGGATGTGGAAGACCTGCATATTGCAAACTACAAGATATCAGTGACAGGCTCCATGCTCAGTGGGGAGTCTGCTTGAGATTCTCTCCCTCTCCTTCTGTCCCTCCCTCTGATCGCACATTCTTTCTCTAAAGTGAATCTTTTAAAAGATTTTATTTATTTTTTTGTCAGAGAGAAAGAGAGAGAGAGATAGCACAAACAGGGAGAGTGGCAGGCAGAGGGAGAAGCAGACTCCCCGCTGAGCAAGGACTCTATCCCAGGACCCAAGGATCATGACCCGAGCTGAAGGCAGATGCTTAACAGACTGAGTCGCCCAGGAGTCCCTAAAATAAATAAATCTTTTTAAAAATGCTCAACATCACTAATCATCAGGGAAATGCAAATCAAAACCACAATGAGATATCAACTCACACCTGTTAGAATGACTATTACCAAAAAGACAAGCAATAACAAATGTTGGTGAGTACATGGAGAAAAGGGAATCCTGTGCACTACTGGTGGGAATGTAAATTGGTGCAACCAATACAGAAAAAAGTATTGTGTTCCTTAAGAAATGAAAAATAGAACTACCATATGATCCAGCAATTCCACTTCTGGGTATTTGATGATAACAGAAACGCTAATCTGAAAATTTTTATATACCATGCTCACTGTAGTATTGTTTATAATAGAAACAACCTAAGTTCCCATCAATAGATGAGTGGGTAAGGAAAATTTGGTGTATATATACAAAGGAATATTGTTTGGCCCTAAAAGAGAATGAAAATTGCCATTTGCAATAACATGGATGGACCTTGAGGGCATTATGCTAAGTGAAATAAGTCAGACAGAGGAAGACAAATACCATATGATTTCTCTTATATGTAGAATCTAAACAAACAAAAACCAAGCTTCCAGATACAGAGAACAGACTGGTGGTTGCAAGAGCCAGGGGATGGAGTGTGGGAGAAATGCGTGAACTGTTTTAGGTTTTTTTATGTTTAAATAAATTGAATTTAAAAATTTTTATGTTACACTGTATGTTAACTGACTTGAATTTAAAAACTCTAAAAAAGAGTTTATTAGAGGAAGGGAGGGAAAACTGAAGGGGAAGAAATCAGTGAGGGAGACAAACCATGAGAGACTTTGGACTCTGGGAAACAAACTGAGGGTTTCAGAAGGGAGGAGGTTGGAGGGATGGGGTAGCTGGGTGATGGGTATTAAGGAGGGCACGTGTTGTGAGGAGCCCTGGGCGTTATATGCAACTAATGAATCGTTGAACACTACATCAAAAACTAATGATGTACTATATGTTGGCTAACTGAATATAATAAGTAAATACATAAAATCTTTAAAAAATTTATTATGAATAAAAAAATTTTTAAGGAATTCTTTATATAATTTGGGAACTTCTCCTTTTCAGTTATATGTGTTGCAAATGTCTTCTTCCTGTTTTGAATGGTATTTTGGTATCTCTTCACAAGTAAATGTTCTTAATCCTGATATTAATTTAGTTAATAATTTTCCTTTTTGCCTTCACATTTTCCTGCCTTGTTTAAGACCTTACCTAACATTTAGTCACAAATATATTCTTTATGATCTTTAATTTTTTCCCCTTTCCCTTTCATATTTAGAAGCTTAATGCACCTAGAATTGATAGTGTCTAGAAAGGCAGATGTCTGGTTTCATTTTCTTTTAATACAGAAAATCGACTGAACCAGCACCATTTATTAAAAAGTCCATTTTCTCCCTGGATACCTAATTCCACCAGTTATATATATTATATTAAGGGTTCACATATGTAAGAATCTGTTTCTGTCTCTCTATTCTGTTCTACTGTTCCGTTTGTCTATTCTTGTATGAATATGACACTAATTTAATATCTCTACCTTTATTATAAGTCTTTTTCTGGTAAGGCAAATACCCCTACCCTGGTGTTGATCTTTGCATTTCCATATAAAGTTTAGAATTGGATTGTTAATATTCACAGGGAAAAAAAAACCCAGAAACATAAGAAACAAAACAGAAAATTCAATTGGGATTTTGATTAGAAGTGCATTAAATCTAGATCAGTTTGGGTACAATTGACATCTTTATAGTACTGAGTCTTCTAATCCATAAACATGCTATTTCTTTTACCTAGGTTTGATTTCAGTAGAGTTTTATAATTTTCTCCACAGAAGTTTTACAAAATTGTTTTTTAATTTAATGAGCAGAGGAATAAGACAATCTCAGTTAACATTTTGAAGGGATGACTCTGGCAGCTACGGAGGGCTTGCGGGGAAAGGAGCAGGTCAGGAAGCTGTGAGGTGGTGCTGGTGACAGATGGTGGCATGGCGGCCTGGAAAGGAGAGGAGGGGGGGCAAAAGGAGGCAGCTACATGGCTGCAGTGCTATGTACTGGACAGTACTGGGTTTTAGGCTGCAGT